CAGGTCTGATGGAGTGCCACGCCCTGGCCCCAAAGTCTATTTTTGTTCTTCCCCAGGGACTTCACTGCTTAGCTCCCCTTGCTGCCCTGTTGCACACCCTTAGCGTTTAACTTCGGTATGGTGGGATCAGAACAGGTACAATTCCCGCAATGTGCCTCCGGTATTGTCCCTCATAGCACTGTGGGTCAGTGAGGGATGTTGTGTCTCGTGGTGGGGCCGGCCCTATTGTCCTCTCTGTGCATTGGCTGCTCTGAGCAGGAATATTATTCTCAAGGTTTGGTGGGCCAGGATGTATTCCACTCTCTCCCCTTCCCTCTTGGTTTGTCCCTGTGTGCTCTGATCAGACACGTCCCTCTACCTCAGCTGTAGCGTCAGTGCTGTCCTCTGAAGTGAATTCTTCTGGGAGGAGGGGGGAACTTTTATACTCACTCCTCCCATCCTCTTTTTTCTCTGTACTTATTTTCTTAAAGTATTTTAACTCATTTTGAAATGGTAAGTGACAGTTTTCGTGTTTGGGGGGCATGTAGTAGCCAATGCTTTTGTGTAGCTCACTTTTTTCTTGAAATTGAGTTGCCTGATACTTCATAAGGATGTTTGAATCAGTATCGGTTTTCTTCACACCTTTACTTTCCTCTTATTTTCCCCCCTTATTCTCTCTCCCTCTCTCCCTTTCTCCCTCTCTTCCTCCTCTCCTCTCTTTGTGCCTCCCTCCCTCCTTCCCAATAACTATTCCTCACTGGAATGGTATAAATCAGGGGATCTGGAGAAACTGGAGTTGGGGATAGCATATCCTGACCAATTTTGGTTTAGAATGATTCTCTCCAGTTGACAATTTTAATGAAAAACCACTTAAACTGACTTTTATGAATAAGAGCATAATTGATTCCCAGTGGAGCTAAGACACTGTAAGAAAAAATAAACGTGGCCTTGAATTACATTTGCACTTTCAGTGTCATATTTAAAGTAGAACCTGAACATTATAAACCCTCAGAAATTCCTTCATTAGCTCTTGATACGATGCCTCCATTTTAGCTATGACCATTGCAGTTGATTCTCTATTCTGGTGGACTGTAGAGAAGTTTGGTATGTTGCTGTTAGTATTTGGATTGGTTCTAGTGGATGTGTCTTGAATTCAGTGTCATTGCAGTTCCACCTTCTTTGCTATGTGACAAGCTGTAGAGACTTGAGAGGTTTCTGTGTGCTGTTGAACTAACACAAGTCTCGTTTGAAATATACCACTTCCTAAGGAGTTAATAGTGGCTATGGAGCCATTTTCTTAAGAAGGTAAAGAGAACCCAAGACCATTTGAATGGAACCATTTCCCGTGTGTGGTTACATCACTGTTCCTGTTATAATTCCCTTCCTTGCTCAAGGAGCTCTGCTTCTGGTGTCCCTGGGCCCCACTGACTGACTCCCAGCCTTTTCCATTACAGCTTTTCGTCTTCAATTTTGTATTTCACTCACTCCTAAAGTGCTCTCTCTCCCTATATAAAGGATATTATGTATAACAAAAAAAATAATTGCACAGAGTCCAAGTAAACAATTCAGTTAAAAAAAAGTCATCTCTCCCAATTACTCCCACATCTCCTCTCCAGCTGCTACTTTATGTCTTTGTTCCCCTTTACAGCAAAGTGCTTGGTACCCTATTCTCTTTCGGTCTTCATTTCCTCTCTCATTCTTCCCTGAAACCACAACATTCAGCTTTTCATCTCCACTCCTTCACCAAACTACCTACCCTTGTCAAGGTCAGCAATGCCGCTTATATTATCCAGCCTAGTGATCAAGGGCACCTCACCCTTGACTTATCAGCAGTATTTACAGAATTAATCATTCACTCTTTCTTGGCACACTGTACACTTCTCCATGTGGCCTTAGAAAAGAACTGCCTCTCCTGGTGTCCTCTACTTCAATAGGCTCTCTTTTGAATCGACTTTGCTAGATCCTCCTGACCGAAAAACCCAGTTGCTACCGAGTTGATTATGGATGTTATAAACATCACATGGGCCAGAGTAGAACTGTGCTCCACAGAAGTCTCAGTGCCTGATATTTTGGAAACATATCTTCAGATGTGTCCTTTAAGGAGCCTCTGGGTGTCCTATAGGGACATCCTATTGGCATCAAACTGGGTGGCCGTGACTTTGAGGTTTTATTCGTTTGTTTTTTTTATATCAAACATTGGCACCACCCAGGTCTGTCTTGTGTTAGGTGTCATCAGGTTGACTAAAGTTGACTTTAGACTAAAAGCAAACCTATCTGAGAGAACAGAACTGTGTTGGAAGGGGTTTTCCAAGCTTCAGTTGTTACACAGAAGATCCTTAGGTCTTCCTCCTACAGAGTAACTGGGTGGAGTCAACCCACCAATCTTCGGGCTAGCAGCCAACCATTTAACTGATACACCGCCTGGGCTCCTTAGAGATTCTCTCTAAACACACTGCCATCAAGTCAATGTCAACTTACAGCAACCCTGTAAGACAGTAGAACTGCCCCTGTGCGTTTCTGAGTCTGTAACTGTTTGCAGGAGTCGAAACTCGAGTCTTTCTCTTGGGAGGTAGCTAGTGGGTGCCAGCCATAACCACTACACCACCAGGGCTCTAGAGACAACCAAATGTAGGTCCATCCTCAGACACACCACCAAAGCACAATGGAAGTAGAGTGGCATAAAATTCGCCAGTTAGTTGCAAAAAATATATAGTCTAATTTAAAACAATTGTCCCACTTGCGGTCCTTAGTGAAAACATCAGTTGCTTTTTAAATTTTCTTTATCTGAGGCATCAGTGATATCCCTCCCTTTGCTCAACAATAGCAAAACTCACTGCCTTTGGGTCAATTCTGACCCAATAGTCTTCCCAAGAGAAAAGTAGAACTGCCCCTCTGGGTTCCAGGATGGTCAATCTTTACCGGAGTAGAAAGTCTCATCTTTCTCCCAAGTAGCAGCTGGTCGGTTCAAACTACTGGTTTTGTGGTCTGCAGCCCAATGTGTAACCCACTGGGTAACCAGGCTCCTTTGCTCACATGCTAGGAAAAATGAAATCCAGAACTAGGTCTCACCGGCAGGGTAAAGATTTCCATTCCTGACCCTCCTTCCCAGCCACTACCCCGCCCACCCCCCAGACCTCTCTCACATTCATTCTTGCGCTCATCCTTTTTGAAAATTATTAGGTCTTTTAAAACTAATACACATCAACCTACATACTTTCTTTAAACAGCGGAAACACCCGTTTTTCTTTGAAGTCTTCATGGATGTAATCTCACAGAGTCCAATCACAAGATTGGATTGGCTTTGTATGCAGCAGCCATTAGCTGTGAACCTTCCCATGGAGATTTTGATTATCTAGTTGTCATAAATATACATTTATAATTGATTGTGCCTTTCTTTAAACCTTTACAGCTATCATTTAATAAAGGTCAACTGGCTATCTCAATGAATGACCAGCATAATCATAGCTTTTCAAACAATAGAGATAGGTAGTGCTAAATCAAACACATTTTTTAGTGTATAGATTGCTGTGCTTGGTGAAGATACTGTTTCACAGTCAATTTATTATATTACTCTGAGAATAATTTGCCATAAGCATCAAAGCAACATTATTTTTTCCTCTATTTTCTCCAAAGAAATCCACATGGGGTGGGGGGAGACATCTGTAAAATGTCAGAAATAATTGGACCAAGTTGTACAATTCCATCGTGACACTAATCGACTTTCGGAGCAGGGTATTTGCTGTGAATGTCTAAACTCTGGTTTGAAAACTGCTTATTATAAACAATACAAACTTTTCCTTAAGGTCATAGTCACAATTTTTTTCAAGTTATGATGTACTATGAATCTAAAACTATATTATGTTGCAGGTAAATGTACATGTGTAAGAATAAACATAGAAGCCTTGGCGGCATTGTGTTTATGCCTTGGGCTGCGAATCACAAAGTCAGCAGTTTGAAATCACTAGCCGCTCCAAGAAAGACAAGGCTATCTATTCTCATAGAGTTAGTCTTGGAAACCCATAAGGGCAGTTTTACCCTGTCCCATAGGGTTGCTATGAGTAAGAATGGACTTGGTAGCAATGAATTTGGTTTGATTTGAGTTGAAGAATAAATGTAAGTAAGCGATTCGGGTGCAAAATTAAAAACTTAAAATGTGGTGAAGTCTTCATAAAAAATTTCGGAACTTCACTCATGAAAAGTCTTGTTCTAAGGAAAATATTAGAAATGAAGATAAACTAAAATGGCAAAGAGAAAA